TGTGCGTTTGTTCTTTTGACTGATCCGATGGCTTTTCTAAATGTAGAAGAAAATGACAATGTATTATTGAAGCCCAAGCGACCTAAGGGACCGGTCATAAAGTAACTGCTAGGGTGGGCTGGAGTGATTTGGGATGGGCCATGGAAAATCTTTGGACTGTTTCGATGGGCCGCCAATTTTTTTGTATGTCCACGGTTGGGTCACCAAACAAAAACCCATGCATGTCTACTTAAAAAAAAAGATATTAATAATAAAAGTAAACAAAACTATCCATGCAAATTATCAAATGGAAATGATGCTATTGAAGCCAGTACTTTGTTTATACAACAACAAGAAGTGGTTGAATCACAGCAAGTACAACTACTGTAACTGGAGAGCAGCTCAGTATTAATGTGTTGATCAAGCTTGGTGAAATTATGTATGTCAATACGGTGCCGTGTATATTTTACAATGTTCCAGTCATACCTGCAAGTTTTTTAATTATAAAAGTGTATTTTCCCAAGTTAGATTGGGTGGGTCATGAAATATTTTTTGTAAGATTAGATGGGCTTTGAAATTTTTATCTACATCCTAAGATGGGTCGCCGAACTTATTGGCAAAATTTGTGATTTACCTCCAACCCACCCTAGCAGTTACTTTTTGACCAGTCCCTAACTATAGGCTATATGATTTTCTTTGCTATGTGCTTTTATAATGGATCAAATAATTACGGTAATATACCGCCATCTTTTTAATTAAATAAACTTATATTTTAAAATTCTCATTAATAGGACAAAATCTTAGTTTCGAATTTCAAAATTGTTATGATGCATTTGGTTCCGAATCATATTTCGATTATGTTGTTTCGTGAATAATAAAGTGCATGGGATTAACATCTCGTATAAAGTTCACGTTCATCAGTATTTTTGTAAAAAATTCTATAGTATAATATAATATTATAAAATTTATGTATAATATAATAATATTATAAAATTTATACACAATTTATATAAAATTTTCGTACATTGAAAACCGAACGAGACTACCTCTCCCTTTATACAAAGTTCGCCAAACCATTGGCGTTCCAACTGCTTGAGTTTAATTCGCTGAGTATACTCTTAAACTAATTGCATCCAGGCGACGTACATTGCTTTAAGCTTCTTGTGTTCATATAAATGTTCCGCATTCTGCAGCTCCCGCACACTAGACATACGCTTTTATTCTTTAAGCTTCCTGTTTTCAACTTTTGAATTCGAGCTCAAAGAACTTTTTGTTGAATGCTTTATTTCCTTACTAATTTACATATCGCTTTCAAATATGGCTTCAGCTTTAAAAAAATTACACTCGCTGGAAGCAAGACAAAGTCTGCCGAAGTATTTAATGTTTGATATTGGCTTGGTTTAAGTTTCCAACCATCCTGCTTCCCAACCATTTCCACATTCTGCGATTTACAACATCAAGTATAACATTTTCTGTTTACAGTAGAAGCTATATCTTAACACGATATATGTAAATTAAGGAAGTAGAATATATTATTAGATCCGTAACACCTATAGCCATGATATAATTATGCTCAAAAACTGTTTACATATGTCTGGACTAACAACAGTTAAACCGTACACTCATGCCGACGTCGACCAGTTCAACAAAACATTACCTCAACTTTAGAGAATAAAATGAAGGAAAAGGCTTCGCACAATAAAAAGTTCGAATTTTGTCGCAGCCTTTTGTCTACAAATAGGAGCGCAATTAACCAATTTTCACATTCTTGTTTTTTCATGTCTTCTACGCTATACGCTGCTTAGTTTTATTCAAATTATGACTATGATGTTTATATGTAGGCCAAATATATATTTTCCTTGTCATTTTACACTGTTGACTCAGACTTGAAGGTTTGTCAGTAAATTGAGAGAAAATAGCGATGGAAAAGAACGGCAAAAAACCTGAAACATGCAAGCATCATTCGTCCTTTCTCGTGAAAGCACTTTTGCTTGTCTTATGTGCGGTTGTTGTTGTCCAATTTGCTGTGATTGCGTGGAATGTCGCGTCCTTGAAAGCTTTGAACAATAAGGTTAACGCTCTGGAAGAAGAAAAGGACTTTAAGTCGTTGGAAAACGAGAATCACGAAAGCAGAACAACACGAAGCAAACGGGGAACAGAGAACACAGATATAAAGAAGGCATTGATAAAACTAGAAAAGCTGGAAGGAAGGTAGGGGGATCTCAGTTTAATGACAAATCAGCTTGTCTAGATAACATGAGAATTTTAGCCAGGTGAGCTTGTTTCTCTAAGGTTTGCTGAATTCTCAGCGACTCAGCTTAATCAACCTCGAGAGCGACTGTGCTGATTGATAGGCTTAATCGTTTGAAATGATTGGAAGGCATAATAGGGCCACTACGTGACAAAATAAGTCGCGACTTACATAAGACGCGACTTAAATAAGTGGAGTTATCGCATAAATGGTTCTCAACGGCTTTGGTCTTATTTATTTGCTATAGCTATAATGTTGTTTTGGTTGTTTTTGTTTTAATATGCAAGGCATTAAATTTTACGTTGTTTCAAGTTTCTGGCATGTGTAGTTAGACTTTTTGTCCAAAATTTCTTAGTTAAGACGCGACTTAAATAAGAACAGCTAAAAGACCTGTTCTTATGTAAGACGCGTCTTATCCAAGACGCGTCTTACATAAGAATTTTGTACCTTTTATACGACAAACTCGCGTCTTACCTAAGTCGCGTCTTATGTAAGTCGCGTCTTATTTTGTTCCGTATAAATGGCCCTATTGTAACAAAAGCTGGACTATGTTGGTAAATTCGGAACAACTTTTGAGATCGACGGTATGTTAACTACGAGATTATATTGAAAATGTGTTTGATCAACACTGTTTTAATTTAGTTTTGATCTTGCCCTATGTCCTATATTTGCTTGCTATAAAAATTGAAGCCACCTCGGGATAGTCATGATATCATTTCTTGTATTCTTTAATACCTATGAATGAGTAAGGGAATTAATGTATAGTTTTACATTAATTTCCTATGTTTAGACTGAATCAGTCGTATCAATATGCTGGTCGTCAACCTGCCTTCCTTCTTCGAGGACCTCCAGGAAAACCAGGAAGAAATGGCACTGCAGGAAGCGCGGGAAGGAATGGGAGGGACGGAAGGGATGGTTCACAGGGAGCCTGAGATATTTTAATTTCCGATGTACATAAAACTTGCGCATCAGAGTTGTATAGATTAGAGTTACGTGACTTGGAGTCGCAATTTTTATGACTTGACTTTGAAAACTAATCGCTTTTCTACAATTTTCACCGGAAATTCACCGATGAGTACTGCAGTGACTTGTGCAGCGAGACTGTTATTTCACGCTATGAGTGAGAACCTTGTAATGCGCAAAATATTAATGTACTAGAAATACACGCATGCATGCAGAAAGTCCTCGCCTATATTTTCCAAACATTAATTTGAATTAACATGAAGTATTTGTCATTGGCTAAAACTGAATGAATCAACTGTCAAACATGGCCATGTGTCCGCAATTATTGATAAACCTATTGATAAACTTTAGACTCCGCTAATGCTTTCCTATTCCTGGTGTAAACAGCCGAGGGAATTAGTACCCTCGCTCCAGGCATCGGCCCGGACTCGTGGATAATTGTCATGCGTGACTTCCCAGTTCATGTTAACAACTCTAACTTGCATTGTTAAATGAAGATTATATAATTAAACTAAATACTAGAAATATATTCATGCCTTTCTTAACAGATGAAATATTGCCCAGACAGCAGAGCCTTTGCTCTCAGAGCCTCTGCTCTCAGCGTTATGAAGTATTTATGGAAATTCCACTTCAAGTATTTGATGATTAAAGACGATAGTGGTTGCCATGGCAACGTTAAAGTAATATTAGAAAATATTAAAAAAGATAATTTTTAACTATAAAAATCTAGAATGTAGTTTTATATTATTTGGCTTTCAATAGGCTAAAATTTAATGTTAAATATAACGGGAAAACGTTTCGAAACTTTACCGCGTGAAGCCGCAGGGAAACTGAAAAATTATTTTTGCTCATAGTAGTTTGCCCGAAAATACGGTAAAATATATTTTCTTTATAGGCCAAAGCTTGTTTTAGTTATATTTTGGTCATGACACATTTGCTGCAGGTAAAGACCATTATATAGACACATTAATTAGGTTGCATAAAAACATGTTATTTATTGAGTTAAAAATTTCGCAGATATGAATAAAATGCACAACACAAAGTAAGTATACTGTATGGAATTTTACTACTGAAATATTTGCACTTAACCAAACCATATAGTTATTAAACAGAATAGACGGTTTGGAATTAACTCATTAGAATAACAATTAGTATAACTCATTATCTATGTTAGTCAACGTTTATTCATAAATATGGTCCTTCACCGTCACGTGTGTATTGTATTTTTTGCAAAATCCACCAATAGCAATTTCCAGTTTCTCTATTGTTCGAGTCACGGATAGGTGACTTTCCGAAAACATTGCTATTGGTTAGTTGGGCAAAAATACAATAAGCACGTGACGGTGAAGCCTGAAGGGCCAGATTTATGAATAGACGTTGATAAACACAGATAATGAGTTATATTGTTATTCTAATGAGTTCCAAACCATCTTTTCTATTAACTATTCCCATGCAAACATAGCCAAGACAACGATCAAAACATAGTTAAACTGTTTATGATACAAACAGTTTAACTATGTTTTGAGTTCTTGAAAAGCCTGATTGTTGTTTCTTGATAATTTATTATACTCTAGAAGCTTGAAAATATAAATAGTTGTCGAATAAAGCTCAATATTTTGGACACAAAAATGTAAACAAAGGCTTTGTTTACATACGGACTGTAGATCACCTTTAAGGTTGTCCACGAGCAAAGCGGAAAAGTCGAATACGAGCGCGAAAGGCTGCTGGGAATCGCTAACAAATTAATGAATTTTCAAAGCGGTTCCCAGCAGCCTTTCGCGCTCGTATTCGACTTTTCCGCTTTGCTCGTGGACAACCTTAATTGAAATAGCTAGCTGTATACATAATAAACTTTTACCTTAAAGTGAAAGTCAAGTCCGTAATGTAAACAAACGGTTTGTTTACATTTTGACTTGCTGTATTTTTTAACTATGATGTACTGTCTGAATATCTAATACCATTTTAGTACGCTATGTTCTAAATGAATATGAAATAGAGTTTATGTTCAAAAAATTCGAAACATTCGAAATTTGGGCAATGTTCACATTAGAGTCCTCACATTGTTATGAGCAGAACCGATGCGCAGAACGGACTTGACTTCCACTTTAACATTCATAAATCATGTTATTCTCAGCTGTAAACATAAAACGAAACATGTTCACTATCAAAGTTTCCGTCATCAAAGTCAACAATGACTTTTATCAAAGATTTTAATCACGAAAACTTCGATAGTGTATTAAGTTCAGAAAATAACTCTATTTTCGGCAAATTGTCCGTTCGGCAAAATGTCTTTTCGGCGAAAAGTCCGTTCGGCAAAATGTGCGTTCGACAGAATGTCTGTCGGCAAAATGTCCGTTTTTGTCCGTTCGGCAAAATGTCTTTTGGCAAAGTGTCCTTCAACAAGATGTCCGGCCACCGTAGTTCAGATCATAGCTACTACAAAACTCAAGCCCATAGATTTGCGGCTGGTTAGTTCCGTATTCCAAGTCACTTTTGGAAAAAGTTCCTCATTCCGAGGAGGAATTAATAATCAGGAATTTCAAAATGATAATCCCCAGTTACCCCCATGTTTGACAAATTTTATTTTAAAGTTACCCCCATGTTTGACAAATTTTATTTTTATTGAAACTGGTTTCCTTAGAATTGGTGCATGCTCTCCATATAGTATAACCCGTAAGAGTAGAACTTCTATCTCTGTATTTATGGAAAGATCTGATGCAGGTTTAATCAAATGGCCAAAATGGAAATGGGTTCGATTTGATCCAAATTTTGCAGCCAGACTGGTTCAAAACCCAAACGTTCTGCGTTCTGTTTAACAATTTGATCGACCTGACCAGTCTAACCGTATTAATCACGCCCCTAAAATATTACAGTCCTATTCTATTGTTATACTCAATGGCACCATAAATGTAACCATAATAGTAAAAAGTTAATACAAAATAACAGTAACACCGAATAACATTTTGATTTTTAATCGACGTTTCGACTAGTTTATAGTCATCCTCAGAATTAATCCTGAGTAAAAAGTCAGGTTTGGTAATTCAAATTGTCAGAGTGTAAAAACAAAAACGCAAGAATATCCTTCATAAACCATGATATTTACTTATAAAGTTCCTATTTTTACGTTTTACCAGGTCAGCCAGGCCGGAGCTTCTGGTAAAAGTGGACCAGCTGGGCCTCAAGGTCCCAAGGGAATACAAGGTGAATCTGGAAAAGTTGGAGTGACTTATACCCGATGGGGAAAAAAAACCTGTCCAAATACTGGAGCTACATTGGTCTATGAAGGTAACAATAAAACTGTTTGTATCCTGTCACAGAAAGATTTCTACCTAAATGAATGGAGAGGGGCACTATATACTGTATATATATATAACAAATATAAATTCCAACTTTAGCAGATCAAAATATTTATTTTACCTCCGCCAGGATGTTATATTTTCGCGTTTGAACGTGTGTGTGCATGTGCGTTACTCTGTCAGCACGATAAACTAAAAAATATCAAACGTATTAATAAGACAATTGGTGTGATTATATGTACATTGTTCATGGACAAATTGATTAAATTTTTGTTAAATGTTGATGAAAATTGGATGAGAAATTATGTTGTTTTGCCTGATATTAAGGTAAAGTGAACGCGTAATTAGCCCATTGTATCATTTATGCCTGGCACATTTATGCCTGGCAGTTCATTCGCTTTTGGAGGTATGCAGTCTTCGAGTGCCCACTAGTTAAATATTTTTTTCAATATATGCTATAGGTATTATGCGGAGGTAATTATGCCACCTTTATATTTTGACAAAGCAGTATTCAATCTTTTGTTGCATGGTTTTTAGGTTATGTCGGAGGATCTTATTATAATCACAGGGGTGGTGGTTCTATTTACGTATGTTTGACACGTGATCCCATCTATGCAAAATATCAATCTGGTTATCAAGACGATCGCTCACGAATCTTTGGCGCTGAATATCAAACATACTCTACTGGCATATATCCCAGCAGTCTGCACGACCACCATGTTCCATGTGCAGTTTGTCATGTGACGAAACGTGCTTCACAAATGATGGTGCCAGGTCGTAACGTGTGCCCCGCGGGATGGACACGCGAGTACAAAGGATACCTTATGGCGGAGAAACACGATCACCATCGTACGATGTATACTTGCGTGGATGAAAATCCTGATTACACGCGAGGAACCCACGTTAATCGTGACGGTGCTTTGTTCTATTTTGTTGAAGGAGATTGTGGTTCACTTCCCTGAAAGCCTTATATTGCTCTCGTTAAATATGAACTCATCTTTGTCTTCAGCAATTACTGAACACCAATACTACCAATTATTGTCACATTTATACTGATTTGCTCCTTTATATAAACTTTTAGAGACAAGATGTTTAATCTTTTGAAACTCCGACAATTTCATGCCGACTTTAAGCCTGGTTTCCATATGGTCGTAAAGATTGAGTCACGATCTTTCTCATCAGCCGAGATACGACATTTTAGAACTGCAAATACGCGGAGTGATTATAACTAGAGAATACTTATGATTTATATGCGGTTTACAGGTGCAAACTATTATAAACTGGCCGTTGAGAAAGATCGTGGCTCTATTTTTACCACCAATACGACCATATGGAAACCAAGCTTCATGCAAATTATCATACAGTCATAATAAAATTGGTAATAACAATAATGTAATGATATGTAACAAACTTTATAACCAGTGTTGATTGTAGTTGCAATTGATAATATGTGGACAATATAATAACCTGGACCACTGCATTCGGTAAATTTCTATTGTAACTCACAATTGTAATTGCACTCAGTATTACAGAACAACCTTCTTATATAACTATATTATTATTTTTTGCTATGACTATTACTTTTTTAATCCGAGCTACTGAAATCTTTTCGCTCACTACGAAAACAATTTGACGTTATTTTGCCGACACGACGTTTTCAGGGGGTGGGGTGTCACCCCCCCCCCCCCCCACACACACACACACACACACCTATAGCGACGGCCCTGATTTCAAGCTCTAGATTAAAATAAAGGTTCATGAGTGTTTCAACTAATTTGGAATAGCTAACCAAGATCACGTGGACTCTCATGCATCCTAGCCGTTTGAAGGCGTATATATGTCTAGTTTGCGGGGCCTAGTTTCGTGCACTCTCATCTTAGTTTGATTCGGGCTCAACTAATACAATCTTGGCAAACAGCTGATTGAGCCACTAGAACGATTTCCAGTTTATTGTGTGTTTGTTCTTGAGAACAATTATGACTATCGGATGGCTTTTCTAAATGTAGAACAGCTGTAGAAGAAAAACACAAAGTATTATTCAAGCCCGCGAGACATTACTATATACAGGATATTCATGCAGTGCCGTACGCTTTGAAACTACGTGAAGAAAAATCACAACTCTGTATCTGTATAGTGTATCACATAACTATACGGTATAATTCCGTCTCAATCGCCATTTTTTAAAGACCTTATATTTTTAAATTCTCAGTACTCAGTATAGGACAAAATCGTATAGTTTCGAAATTCAAAATTGTTATGATGCATTTGGTTTCCAATCATGTTTCCATTATATTGTTTCATGAATAATAAAGTGCGCTTAAAATTTCGTATAAAGTTCATGTTCATCAGTATTTTGTAAAACGTTTATCTATAAATAGTATGCATATAATCGTGATTTTTCGCACATTCAAAACCCAGCGAGAATACCTTTCCCTCCATACAAAATTCGCAAAACATTGGCGTTCCATGCAATACATCTAGGCGACGTGCATTGCTTTAACTTTTTAAGCTTCTTGTGTTCATAAATGTTCCGCATTCTGCAGCCCCCGCAAATTGGACATACGCCTTTATTCTTTAAGCTTCCTGTTTTCAATTTTTTAATTCGAGCTCAAAGAACTTTTTGTTGAACAATTACAGCGTCTTGAATTTGTAACGTAGTTAAATACGAAACTCATTCTGGTTAACATTGTGTAGAACTGGTCCTAATTCCAATCCTAATCCTAAATAGAAAATACATGCATGTATGCAGAAACCTTCGCCTTGCTGACAAAACCATTGTATTTTCCGAACATGAAGTATCTAAAGTAGTTGTCATGGTATTGACAATTTAACTCGATAATTTTTTAAAAATATTCCTACAAATGAAAAATCGCCTAAAAATATTACTTTTAATTACAAACTTTTGAATTTCCGAACATATATATATGTTAGGTATGATATTATACGTAATGTAAGCTTCAATTTAATTATTATTATTATTATAAATTTCCAAACTAGCAGTAACAACTGAATTACTTTGGAATTACAGGGTATAAGAACATAGGTATTTAATCTATTCTATATTTACAGGTAAAAATAGGTAAGTTAGGTAAAAATAACAATAATAATCTAAAGTTTACTTATTATTATAAGCACGAGACGCAGCAGGAATGAAACTGTTCGAAAAACGTTCAGTTCTACACCTAGGTACTAATAAGTTGGGATAAGACCTCAGATTATAAGTTTGAAGACTTTTAGGCGGTACTAAGGCATTCAGTTTATGAGTGGGTTCCAACATCTTCGAAAAAAGTCGCTTGCAATGGACAGTTCTACGTTCGTAAAGAGTCGTCAAGTTAGCTTTAAGCAAACATTCAGCATAGATAGTTCCAGGGAAAATAATTTTTAACGCCCTTTTTTGTATTTTTTCAACTTGATCACTCAGGTAATGAGGAAGGCCATAATGCCACACCTGACAAGCATATTCGACAATTGGTCGGATATGTGTACAATAGGTTGAGATCAGAATATGAGAAGGTAAAGCATTTCTTTTAAGAAGGCGCAGACCGTACAAACGCTTCGCGGCTTTCTTGCAAATGTAGTCAATATGGCAGTTCCATTTGAGGTCATCCGAAAGGACAAGGCCCAATAGTTTGGCCTCGGAAACGACGTCGACCTCTTGACCGCGAATGGTAATAGGGGCAAACGATGGAGTAAGCTTAGAAAAGCAGACACGCAATTCTTTGGTCTTTGATACGTTTAACTTCATATTATTGTCTGATGACCATTCAGAGCAGCTGATGATGTTAGCGGGTAACTGGGAAGGGGAATTGTTTGATATTATTTCCCAAAGGCTAGTATCATCGACAAATTTAACAGTTTCATCCACTACAGCCAAGTCATTTATCATGATCAAAAATAATAGCGGGCCAAGCTTCGTTCCTTGTGGGACGCCGGCGTTTAAAAACTTCCACTCAGAAAAGAACTGACCAACACGGGTTCTTTGTTGTCTGCCTGTTAGGAAGTTTGCGATCCAGTTGAGTAACACGGGATGAATTTCCATGTCTTTCAATTTTTCCAACAGAATGTTATGATCTAATCTATCAAACGCCTTGGCAAAATCAAGTAAACAAATCCGTATAGTGTTGCCTTGTTTGTCAGCTGCTTCAAACCATTTATGTAGCATGTAGATTAATGCCATACTAGTGCTTGAACCCTTCAGCGAACCAAATTGCAAGGAATCAATTTAAGGTGAAATTCAACCACAAACGCTTCGCAAAACGTTTTAAAGTACGTGTTCTTTATAAAACTAAACTGCCTTTAATTACATGGCTTTACCTTTATCGATAAACTTTGAGTTTGCAATAAAATGATTTCAAATTCTCGCATACAAATAACTTTGCTTTCTTTTTTATTTAAAAATTCAATACTAGTAATAAAAAAGGGAATCAATATTTATACAGATACACTGAAATTAATATATGCTGTCTTGTTTAGTTGTTTCATATACGCAAAGGCCGTCGGGTTTTAAAGCAATTATAAAATCAATATTTAAAACAAACTTACCTTCGTTAACGTCGGCTCTCTTCTTTAGCGAAGTCTAAAGTTCACCAATGATCGCGGGCGTGGCTCACTGTGCGTGCATGGGTGGCCATCCTTACTGATCTCAAAAATATGGCGGACTGTCATGAATAGCGAATACTGTGATCGGTCCAATTTAAAGTTTGCATTATAGCGACTGCATGACGACAGCGAAATAGCAAACATTTCTTGATTTGATGATTGAAATAATTTCTTATGATTTGATGATTGATATATTTCATTTTTGCAAGATTTTGTAAATTTCAAGAAAGAAAGGGCGAAAGAATCGGCTAAAAGAAGGGAGCCGACCTCAACGAAGGTAAGTTTGTTTTAAATATTGATTTTATAATTGCTTTAAAACCCGACGGCCTTTGTGTATATGAAACAACTATTCAAACACTCATTAATAATTCATAAGCTTATTGGCAAATCATGTCGACCATAATATGTCACGTGCAGTGGCTTTAAACCTGATAAACACTCCTAATTAGTATTCTTTATATAAAGAATACTAATTATTCTTTATATAAAGAATACTAATAAGGCAATATCTATTGTAGTCGTGTCCTCATTGGTATTCTTTATATAAAGAATACTAATAAGGCAGTATATCTATTGAATTTGTAGTCGTGTTTGAAGCCGTTTAATAAACTCGCAGGTCGTGCTTTATTAGGTCTAAAGCCACTCGCGCTGCGCGCTCGTGGCTTTAAACCTAATAAAACACTCCTGCTCGTTTATTAAACAGTACAACAAGACAGCATATATTAATTTCAGTGTATCTTTTTAATATTGATTCCCTTTTTTATTACTAGTATTGATTCAATTTTTAAATAAGAAAGAAAACAAAGTTATTTGCATGCGAGAATTTGAAATCATTTTATTGCAAACTCTATTTAATTAAAGGCAGTTTATAGTTTTATAAAGAACACTTTAAAACGTTTTGCGAAGCGCTTGTGGTTGAATTTTACCTTAAATTGAAGCTTATGTACTGTTTAATAAACGAGCAGGAGTGTTTTATTAGGTTTAAAGACACGAGCGCGCAGCGTGAGTGGCTTTAGACCTAATAAAACACGACCTGCGAGTTTATTAAACGGCTTCAAACACGACTACAAATTCAATAGATTTACTGCCTTGTTAGTATTCTTTATATAAAGAATACTAATGAGGACACGACTACAATAGATACTGCCTTATTAGTATTCTTTATACAGGGTGTATCAAAAAAAGCGCAATCCTCGACTGAAATGTAAATTGCTAAACAGATAATAGACGAAAACGTTAAAGTTTACATTCATTTTAAAGCGTAGCCATTCAGCTTTCTAACAGTGGGTTGTTTCTTAAATTTGACTCATTGGTTCGCGGGAAATAATACTTTACGTTATTGTGATTGGAGATTAAAAAAAATGAGATGGAATAACAAATCGTTCTCATGAAAATAACTGATTTTTTCATTAAAACAAAAAAATGTTGCATTTTATTAAATGGATTGTAACAATAAGTATAATTACGGCTTTTCTTCCACTATTTTTAACTCAGTTTGAAACTTCAAATGCGATATAATTTTGGCTTGGACCATCTAAGCTGACTGACATCAACTTGCTATAATTTCTGTTTACATTACATCGCAATTCGATGACATTCTGGCTCAGACACCAGAATGTTTTGACGATTTTTAGCATTCGTTTAGGATTTTCAAACAACCTGGTCTCTTTTAAAATGCTTTTAATTTGTTCTTACGTGGTTTTCCAGATGTAGTGACGACAACATTAAAGTTTAAAGAAGAAAATTCTAACATTTAAACCGACTAAACAATAACATAGTAAACTTGCATAATTAAACAGCAACTAAAAATGATAGGTTTTACTAAATCTTTTCCTGTGCAATTATTACTAGCATTGGAGGCAAGAATAATAGTTTGTTTGAAAGAGAAAAGAACAGGCTTTGAAGTAAGCCTAAAAGCGTTTAACTAGAAATAGTATTT